ACATACCTTGCTAGAAAGAAAAAGTGGTCACTTAAATAAATAAATACATTCTTGTTGACTGACTGCTGCCTCATAGAGCACCTGTGCAACTGAGCTCACTGGACCTAAGCATTACTGAGATTAAAAAGTCTAAGCCCATCAAAGTGATGGTAACAGAAGAAGTGATGAGGAGAGGCTGAGCTCTCCCAGAACAAACGATCTCAGAGCTTCAAAGGATCTTAAGGGATTATCCGGGAAACAGAAAAAGCTGTCAAAGAACCCCTCAAAATCCAGAGAAAAATGTCCCCTTTCTCAAACACCTGGGGAAGGGTCTCCAGCCATGGCCACTTAGGAAAGTTCTCCTGACAAGGACAGCTGTTCACACTTGTTGAGACCTGCCATCTAGTGAAGGTAAAATGCAGCCCTTGGCAGCAGCCTGGCTGGTCTTCGATGACAAGGCAAGTGTGGGATGCTACATAAGAAGGAACATCTAAGAGGAAGAGACAGCGGCTGTGTGGGATGGAAACACCTGGGTTTTCAAATCACAGGGAATATCCTGCCTTCTGATGTTTCGTGGCTAAGAGCGGTTCCATTAATACTAAGATACATGACGCTTCTTGCCACTACCTTTTCACACGCCACAAATCTATTCTCACGAGCAACCTGGGTTCTCCGCCCGGCAGGAGAGGAAAAAGCCAATTTTGGGGTCTGCAGAAATTGCACTTAAAAATCTACACTTACAATCATCTATCCTTGTGCAGAAATTTTCATGCTTTTAGGGCCACAGAAACAGCTTTATACATTAAAAAATACATACCAGGCTTTGTCTCTCCAATGAATGCACTTAATTAGCCTTCTCTTCTTTAGAAACAGTCGATCAATAAACATTTATTAAGTGCCTAATATGTGCACTGGGGATATAATAAACAAAAGACAGTCCCTGCCCTCAAGGAGCTCACAATCTACTGAGGGAAACAACATGCAAATAAACAGAGAGAGAGAGAGTGAGCGAGAGCTACCTATACACATGATAAATAGGAAATAACAGCAGGCAGGCACTGGAATTAAGAGGGGTTGGGGAAGGCTTCCTGTAGAAGGTGGGATTTTAGTTGGGACTTAAAGGAAGCCAGGAAGGGCAGTAGTCAGAGCAGATGAGGGAGAGTGTTTCAGGGATTGGAGACAGCCAGAGAGGATTCCCAGGGCCGAGAGATAGGCTGTGTTGTTTGTGTGACAGCCAGGAGGCCAGTGTCACTGAATGGGAGAGTACCTGGTTGGGAAGTATGGTGTAAGAAGACGGGAAAGGCAGGAAGGGGCTGGGTTATGAAGGATTTTGAGTGTCAAACAGAGCATTTTGACCCTGGAGGTGACAAGGAGCCACCGGAGTTTATTGAGTGGGAGGCGAGGAGAAATAGTCAGGCTGCACTTTAGGAAAATCACTTTAGTGACTGAATAAAGGAAGGATTGGAGCAGGGAGAGACTCGAGGTAGATAGATCCCCCCCAGAAGCTACTGCAACAGTCCAAGTGTGAGGGGATGAGGGCTTGAACTACAGTAGATAGTGTCAGAGGACAGAAGGGGATGTATTCGAGAGACACTGCAGAGGTGAAATCAGCAGTCCTTTGCAACAGCTTGGATATGGGTGGGGCGGGGGAAGCACAGGATGAGAGATAGTGAAGAGTCTAGGATGACTCCTAGGTTCTGAGCCTGGAGGACAGGGAAGATGGTATTGCCCTCTATAGTAATATTAGTGGAGGGAGGAAGGGAGAGCTCAGTGGGGAAAATAATGAGTTCCATTTTGGACATATTAAATTGAAGATTGGATAATCAGTTTGAGATGTCTGAAAGGCAGCTGGATGTTAAACTGGAGGCTAGCAGAGAGTTTGGGGCAGGAAAGGTCGATGTGAAAACCATCAGCACAGAGGTGGTAATTAAATTCCATGTGAGCTGAGGAGATCACCAAGTGAAGTAGTATAGAGGGAGAAAAGAAGAGGACCCAGGACAGAACCCTGAGGGACACCTACTGCTAGAGGGCATGATCTGGAGGAGGTTCCAGCAAAGGAAACAGAGAAGCAGCGGTCAGAGAGGTAGGAGGAGAACCAGAAGAGAGTAAAATGGTGTCCTGAAAACCTAGGGAGAAAAGATGTATTAAGGAGAAGAGAGTGTTAAACAGTGCCCAAGGCTGCAGAGAGGTCAAGGAGAATGAGGATTGAGAAAAGGCCACTGAATCTGGCAACTAAGAGACCATTAGTAACTCTGGAGAGAGCAGCTTCAGTGAAATGATAATGTCAGAAGCCAGATTATAAGGGGTTAAGAAGAGAGTGAGAGGAGAGAAAGTGAAGGTACCTATTGTAGATGGCCTTTCGAGGAATTTAACTACCAAGGGCAGAAGAGATATAGGATGATAGTTAGCAGGTGATGGAAAGCTCAAGTGAAGGCTGGTAAGGGGGAAAATATGGACATATTTGTAGACAGCCAGGAAATGAGCCAGTAGAGAGGGAGAGATTGAAAATAAGTGAGAGAGTGGGAAAGACAGAGGACGGAATGAGATCGATTGAACCTAGTGGAGGGGTTGGAGTAAAGCCACTTCATCATGTGAGATGGGGTGAAGGAGAGAATGGTCAAAGGCTCCTAAGTGATAGGATATAAGAAGAGGGAGTTCACAGCCAATGGCCTTAATTCTTTCAGTAAAATATGAGGCGAGGTTCTCTGCTGAGAGAGTTGGGGGAGGGAGAGCCATGGAGGTCTGAGGAAGAATGAGAAGGTTTGGAAGAGCCTGTGGTGAGCAGGATAGTTGGTAAGTGGGATACAGCAGGATGGCCTAGCGACAGTGAGGGCCCAGTTGAGGTAGGGTGACCTAAATCCACAGTGGAACCAGTTGCGCGATTTTCTCCAGTTTCATTCAGCAGCACGTTGAGAAGGTGACAAATGGTGGGAGTGATCCATAGCTTGGCTGGCTGTAATCAGTGATGTGATAAGGGGGTAAGGGGAGGAGGACAGTGTAGAGTTGGACTGGTTCACTTAAGGGCCAAGATGGGGAGAAGAAGAGAGAGTGACCAGTGCAGGGGAGATGGTCTGGGAGACAAGGAGCGCGGAGGAGGAGGAGGTCAAGGGACTGAAGGTCAGTAGGGATCTTAGGACGCAGGAAGGTCAATGAGCAAGATTTGTGCTCCTGCCCTTTAAGCCTCCAATGGTGGGTCAGTGATTAGGGTAAAGGCAGTCTCTATTCCACAGATTGATATCACATATCAACATTCAGGATAATGATGAAGACTCCTTCCCATTCCACATGCCCATTCCAGTAGTGGTTGAAGCAATATTTGGTTCTGGTTCTAAGGCGAGCGATCTTGGTGTGATGAGGGACATACACTGTGTGCTGGGGGGGAGGGCTCAGAACAGCATGAAGGGCAGTAACATCACATTAGAAAAACAATCTCTCCAGGCTTTTCTCTTTCCCTTTTGTTCCAGCTAATGACAGAGTCATCACATAGAAGCCTTAACCTAGAGCTACTGTTAAATTCAATTCAACAAAACTTTTATTAATCGGCTACTACAGACAAGCCACAGCCTCAGGCACTGGGGATTCATAGATTATGAGAGTCCAGAGCTTACAACCACATGGCTTGGAAAGGGGGTGGAGGGCAAGAATACACAGACCGGAAATAGTCATGGTACAAGGGATTTTAACAGATGAAGACTGGGGGTGTGGGCAGACACAGACTGCAGGTGTAGGGGGATAATATGAACAGAGCAGAAACGGAAAAGGGCAGGAGCAGAAAGTCAGATGGCGAGAAGGAGTCTGAAGTAAGGCTAGGGAGGTGACCTGGAGGCACGTTCCACAGAGCCTGGAATGCAGGAGCTACTCAGCAGGCAATAAAGAAGGCACTGAACGCCTTCGAGATGAGGAGGGACAAGCGGCGTAAGCGGGAGAGCAGCCTGAACAAGAGAGGCTACGGTGGAAGAGCAGGGTGTGACCAATAGGCATTGATTCACTGATTGATTGATTCATTCAAAAGATATCATGGGGGAAGAGAAAGCAAGACATAACCACTACCAGACACCTTATTGTTTGTTAGATATCAGGACTTCACATTCGTTAAGTCATCTATTGGCAAAGTAGTATTCACAATTGTGACTCAGAACCATGGTGCCTGACCATCCAGATGTAAGGGAGGGCCCTCAGGTTTCTAAGTACCTGAAAATTCTGGCATGAAGAACAATTTCTAAGAGATTAAAGATCAAATTCAGACCCTGGGTATGAGAACAAGACTTGTAGACCTTCAGGAAAAAGCCCTTGGGGAAAAAGGAAGAGCCAGCTGATGTGGAAGCTACATGTGATAAAAGCCGTAGGTCACCATTACATAACAGCAGAAGCCCTTGTAATTAGAATCCGATAACAGCCAAAGTACCTTATTACCAATAAAGCAAAGGCGCTTAATAGCAGGGAGCAGAGGAATTGCAGCAAATAGAGGAAGGTGCCTATTTATCTCTCTGCATGGAGTGTCAAATGCAGATTCAGGAAATAACGTATTTCTCATGAAGTAGATTCTTCTGAATACAATATTCAAGTATTTAAAATTAGATAGTCAATAGGCACATTGCCTCCCAAATCACGCACACTCTACCCAGCATCCCCTAAACTTTCATTCTCAAAGCCTTTTTGTGCAAAGTAAGCAGACACATGAGTAAACCAAAGTGTGACTGACACAGATATCTATGCATGTATGTTAAACAGACACATGCAGATAGACACACATATATATATGTGCACACACATACATGCAGAACAAAAGAACTGCAGGTCACGTTAATCTGTCTTTTCTCCCCATCTAGAGACACCATCAGCACCACCACCATCCTCTTCAAAAACAAGAGTGACACTATTAATGAGGATGGTGAAGGAGGGGACTCAAATTCAGAAGGACAACGGCATAATTCATGCTTATAGCAACATCCTAAAGGTCATTACATTCCAGTGAGAGATACAAGCTCAAAGGAAGCCGTGCAGAAAGCATCATATGATACCTCGTGAACCACGGGACCCAAAAGAAAGTGCAGCCTCTGACAGAGTTCTCCGAGGTTGGACAAACTGCTGGCCCTGTGGCTCCCGTCTGGATCTTTTGCTCCCCTCAGGAAGGTGTGAATCAAAGGTTCTCGGTACTTCGAGACCATGTCCCCTGTTGGAGAAAGAGAAGAAATACAAGCTTACTTTAAAACACATTTCCAACCTTTAAAAAAGGAAATACCTTCTATTTGTTCAGTGTTTCATACTTTTAGGGGGTTCTATCATTCATATTATTTCATTATATTCTTATAACAATGAGCAGATGAGACTCCTGACCTCAGGGGATTCCCCAAGGCCCTATCCTAAGTTCTTTTCTCCCCTCTCTCCATCCTCTCCCTCTTGGGGGCCTCATTAGATCCCATGGGTTAAACATCGTCCAGGCATTCATACACTAAGCTCCTGGCTCTCTCCTGACTTCTAGGCCTAAATCACTGTCTATTGGATATTTCAAACTGGATATTCCATAGATACCTTAAACTCAATATGTCTTTATCAAGACTTGTTATCTTCCCCCCTCCAAAACCCAGCCCTCTTCTAAACTTTCCTAAACAATAATAAGGATAGCTAGCGTTTATAGAACACCTACTACGTGCTAGGCACTGTGCTAAGCTCTTTACAGATATTATCTCATTTGATCTTTACAACAATTCTGGGAGGTAGATGCCATTATTACCCTCATTTTATAGTGGAGGAAACTTAGGCAAACAGAGGTTAAGTGACTTACCCAAGGTCACACAGCCAGTTAGTGTCTGGGGCCACATTTGAACTCAGGTCTTTCTGACTCTAGGCCTAGCACTCTATCCACTAATAGCACCACCTCAGTCTGCCAAAGGCACCACAATTCTTCCATTCTCCTGGGCTTTGCAGTCATCCCCAATTCCTCACCTCTTTTTTCCAATTAGTTACTGCATCTTGCCCTCCATAATATTCATCCCCTTCTCTCTCCTCACATGTACACCCCTTATTGCAGGCATTCGTCAGCTCTTGTCCACACTACAACAGTGGCCTTCTAATTGGTCCCTCCACTCTTATTCTGCACAGAGCAGCCAAAGAGCATTTACTTATGGATATGTCTGGTCATGTCACTCAATAAACTCCAGTGACTTTCCATGACTTGTAGGATCAGGTACAAACTGCTATGTTTGGCTTTCAAAGTCCTTCACACCTGGCCCCAATTAACTTTCCAGCCTCATCATATATTACTCTCCCACTGGCACCAGACCATTCAACCCAACTGCTTTTTTCTCTCTCTCTTCTTTTTAGGCAATTGAGGTTAAGTGACTTGCCCAGAGTCACACAGCTAGTGTCAAGTGTTTGGTCTGAGGTTAGATTTGAACTCAGGTCCTCCTGACTTCAGGGCCAGTGCTCTATCCATTGTGCCACCTACCTGCCCTCTCTTTTTATACACACACACACACACACACACACACACACACACACACACACACACACACACACACACACACACCATCTTCTCTCTTTGGATCTCTCCTCTGTCCTTTTGTGCCTGGAATGTGCTAACCCTTCATCTTTGCTGCAGATTTCTCTTCAAGCTTTGCCTCCACTGCCACCTTGGACAAAAAGACTTCCCTGAATCCCCCCATCTGCTAGTGCCCTCTCTACCTATTTTGCATGCCATATGCATGTGTGTATGGATGTATGTGTGTATGGATATATGTATAGATACATATGTGTGTGTATACAGATACAGAAATAGTATGTACTTATCTACATATATACTGTGTCATCTCACAGAATGTAAGCTCCACGGGAGTAGGAGTTAACTGACTTGTATCAGGGCAGCCCAATGGCTCAGTGGATAGAGCGCTGGGCCTGGAGTCAGGAAGCTGTTCAGTCCTTTTTCAGTCTGACTTTCCATGATGTCATTTGGGATTTTCTTGGCAAAGATACTGCAGTGGTTTGCCATTTCCTTCTCCAGATCATTTTACAGATGAGGAAACTGAGGCCAACAGGGTTAAATGACTTGCCCAGGGTCACATAGCTAGTAAGTGTCTGAGGCTGGATTTGAACTTCGGAAAGATAAGTCTTCCTGATTCCAGGCCCACAGCTCCACCCACTGTGCTAGGAGCCAGGAAGACCTGGGGGGGGGGGAGAGAGAGAGAGAGAGAAAGAGAGAGAGAGAGAGAGAGAGAGAGAGAGAGAGAGAGAGAGAGAGAGAGAGAGAGAGAGAGAGAGAGAGAGAGAATATGTACGTATATGAGTACATATATAATCATATTCAAAAATTATGAAACAAATATGAAATAATTTAGGGAAGGAGGACATTAGCAGAAAGACTTCATATAGAAGGCAGTGCTCAAGCTGAGCCTCAAAAGAAGCAAAGGATTCTGAGGTGGAGGCGAGGAGGTAAAGCATTCCAGGAGTGGGGGTACAGTCAGGGTTAAGGGATGGAGAGCTAAAGTACCATGTGTGAGAAACAGGAAGAAGTCCAATCTGACCAGCCTCTGCAGAGTTCTGCCCTCATCCCGGGAGATTTCAGCATGTGTGCGCAGATTTCTAAGTGCTTAACTCCCTAGTTCCTCTGTCTAGACAGCTCCCACGACCTGTTCCTCCACTCCACCTTGGCTACACACTGGGACAGACACATCCTTGATCTCACCCAATGTTACACTTCTATGTCCAAGAACTCCAGATTCCCTCTTATCTTTTTTCATAAATCTCTCTCTACACCTCACGACCCTTAACTCTATTCTCTGTCCTCACTGTGTGCTCCAATCGTTCTGTCCTTCCTTGGGCCATCATCCCTACTCTGGCACATTCTTTGCCATCCCCAATCTCAACCTCTTGGTGAACCGGTCCAGCTCTACACAATTCTCTAATCTTGAACCCTCGTTCCCTCATTGAATTGTTGAACATGCCTTGCTAAATCCCAACCCTGGATTAAATCCACTATCCACCTTCCTTGTTCCTACTCATGTGTTGCTGAATAGTTAGAAGATTTTATGCAACCACTGAGCCTAGATCCACTACCAATTTAAATTATCTAACCTCAGATGGGTCTTCACTGTAGCAGGGCAATCTATCTATTCCTCCCTAATCAATTCTCTGTCCTACTCACCACAGGAGCTGTTCCAAACCTTCTATCTGAACCTCAAGACTCCCATGGCACCCCCACCTCCACTCTCCCAATATGAAGCCTTGCTTCATATTTAATGAAAAAATTGAGGCTGTTCAATGAGAGTGTCCTCTTTTTTCCTTCTCTTCCTTCTCACCATTGACATCATCTCCTGCTAGGCCCTCCTTGCCCCCACTTCATATGAAGAGGTGGCCCTTCTCCCTGCCAAGGCCAGCTTCTCCATGTGAACACTGATCCCATTCCCTCCCACCTCTTCTGGCAGACTGTCGTCATTATTATCCCCCCTCTCTAATCTTCAGTCTTTGTGTCTACTGGTTCTTACCCTGCTGCCTATACGCATCTCCCACCCTTAGAAAATCTTCACTGGATTCTGGAATCCAGACCCTCCTCTACCGTTATTATCCTTGTAACTCTCCCTGTCTTTCTCAATAAAACTGAAAATGTGGTCACACTTGGTGTCTCCATCTCTCTCCTCCCAGTCTTCTAAACCCTCTGCAGCCTGACTTCTAACCTCACCCTACGACTGAAGCTGCCCTCTTGGTTTTTCTCCTTCCTCTCTCAATACCCTTTGCTGTGTCTGTACCCATGTGGGTATGCCCCAAGGCTCTGCTCTGGGCCCTCTTCTTTTTCTTCTAGACACTCTGGGTTGACTATCTCATCAGCTCCTATGAGATTCAATTATGTTTAAGCTGAAGATTCCAGAATCCACCTATCCAGCCCCCTCCTGAGTGCCAGTCCCGTATGACCAAGTTCTAAACTTCTCTATTACTGTCAAGGGCACCACCACCCTTATCCGTTGCCCAGGTTTGGAAATTTTTTTAAAATTCAATTTTATTTTCAGGTCCACATTTTCTCCCTTCACCCCTCTTTGAGAAAGCAAGAAAAATAAAACCTGTAACAAACATGTATGGTCAAGCAAAACAAATTCCCACATTGGCTACGTCCACAAAAAAGTCTGAGTCTATCACCTCTCTATCTGGAGTGGGATGGCATGTTTCATCATGAATCCTCTGGACCTATGGTTGGTGATGGTGTTGATCAGGGTTCCTGAGTCTTTTTTTTTAGACAGCTTTTTGTCTTTACAATGTTCTTATCATATAAGTTGTCTCCTGTTTCTTGTCACTTCACTTTGCATCAGTTCATACAAGTCTTCCCAGGTTTCTCTGAAACCATCCCCTTCATCATTTCTTACCACACAATAGTATTCCACCATATTCACATACCATGACTTGTTCAGTCATTTCCCAATTGATGGGCATCCTGTCAGTGTTCCATTCTTTGCCACCACAAAGAGCTACTAGCAATACTTTTGGACATCGGGGTCCTTGCCTCTTTCTTTGATCTCCCTTGGGGCAGAGACCTGGTAGCAGTGTTACTGAGTCATAGGGTACAGACAGTTTAATAACTTTTGGGGCATAATTCCAAAACGCTTTCCAGAATGGCTGACCAGGTGTGAAATGCTGATGATGGCTTCCCTGACTCTTTAATCTCAAGCACCCCATTTATCTAATTGGTTATCAACCCTTGTCACTTCTTTCTCCCAAAGAGCAGCTGCATATAACCTCTTCTCTCTACTCACGCAGCGACCACCCTAGGCCCTATATGCTGTGCTGCCTGGGTGACTGCAGTAACCTTCTATTTGGGATCCCTGCCTCGCGCCTCTCCCTACTCCAATCGGTTGTCCACATAGATGGCAGATTCTGACCATGTCACTCAGTAAACATCAGTGGTTCACTGTTTCCAGGGTATGCTATGGGAAAGGTCCAGGAGGCAGGTTCTGTCACCCTCCCAGACCAAATATAAACTCCTCTGCTGATCATTTAAAGCTTTCTATAGCCTGGCCCATCTCTGTACTTCCAGGATCCACATATTTTATGTCACCTCCGCCTACTCTATGGGTCAGCTGTACCGGCTGACTTGCTACTGTCCCTGACACATGATGCCAAGTGGCACGGTGAATATAGTGTTGGATTTGGGTACAAAAAGACCGTAGTTCAAATCCTGTTCTAGACACT